CGCGGGCCGTAGTTTGCCCACGGCTGGCCTAGTATATGGTCTAGCCTAGAAACTGTTCTGTGTGCACTTGGGAAGAATGTGTATTCTGCCATTGGATGTAATTTTCTTTGTATGACTCTTAGGTTTCTTTGGTCTATAGTGTTGTTCAAATCTTCTGTTTCCTATTGATTCTCTGAATGATCTATCCATTATTGAGGGTGGGGTCTTAAAGAATGTATGAGAGTTTTTATCCCAAGAGCAGTGGTTCTCAAACGTTGATGATTTTGCTCCCCCCAGGGCACATTTTGGCACTGCCTGGAGACATTCTGCTTGTCACAACTGGTGAGGGGGGGCGTGGCTGTTACCTCTGGCTTCTGCCAAGTAGAGGGAAGGGATGCTCTAAACGTCTTAATAGTGCTCGGTACAGACCTTCACATCTAAGAATTACCTGGACCAAAATGGCAATAGTACCGAGGTTGAGAAGCCCTGCCCCAGAAGAACAGAGAGAAGATACTGACAGATTCAAGAAGCGATTAGGTAGAACCACTAATAGTTCCTTTGTGGTTGATGCTATGAGGACAGGAGCATCCTCCCATGACACATTGGAACTTCTTGGTAGATTCCCGGACTGGCAAGCCTGTGGTCTGTGTACCCTCCCGGCCTTTTGTCTCAGAGAAGCCTTTGAGCAATCCGAAGCGCCTTTGTTATTCTACACAGAGGAACTTTCATTGTAACGGTCCCTCTGCCCATCCACAGAGCATCGTAGGGATTCCGGAACCCGAAATAATGTAAGGAGCTTACGATGAGGACGGATAAATGCTGAACAACACAGTCAAGGTTGAGTGCCCAGAGAAAGGGCATCTGGACACATGAGCTTCCAAAATGCCAGTGGTGTCCGTTGTCTTTCAGGTGGTAAACGTGTCGCGGCTGGAGGGAGATGACGATCCCGTGCAGCTCATCTACTTTGTGGAGGATCAAGACGGAGAACGACTCAGTGCAGTCAAGTCTTCAGACCTGATCAACAAGATCGACATCCAGAGAGCAGCCATTATCTTGGGTTACCGAATTCAAGGCGCTGTTGCCCAACGTAAGTGCCCAAGGCTTGGCCCCTGAGTAGCCATCTGTGCTGTGCTGTGATGGGCTCAAAGGCCAGTCTTTTCCTGACAGTGAACTCTGAGTTTAAAGCATTCTTAGGTGGCCGAAGTAGACCTGTGTCTCACACCCATATTATTAAATGGCACTTATATAAGATGTCAGGTGTTAGAATGTATTTGAAAAGACCTTTATTTCCATTGCTTGTGGTGATAGCCTTCACTGCCTTTTTTCCTACCTAGTATTTTGTATTCATAGCATTCTACTAGTGAGTTTTAGTAACGTAAGTTTACTTTAGTACTTTTTCCCCTACTCTGGTCCTATTTCTCGTTTCAAAAATTTGTCTTCAGTAAAATAACGTGTTTTCCCTGTATTTATTCCAAAATCTTACATGTCATTTTGAACGTTGGTGGGGACAGTGAGTCACGCAGGAAGCCGGGCGGTGCCCTCTGCATTTATTGGCTTCCTTCTGGGTCTTTCAACACAAAGAAGCCCTTGATGCTCACCCTTTTCAATCCTGTTTGCCTCCCACCCTCGCCTCACACCGCTCCACTATTTAGAAAGAGGTTATTTTGATATTTCTTTATTATTTTTGGAAGATACGAGCCCCCTGTCCCCTGGCAAAGGCCTCCCTCAGTACTTTTTTCCAACTCACAGATTTGGGGTATTTAAAATTAAGAAAAGGAGTGGCACGGAAGAGTGTTTTTCTCTCTAAATATACCTTTATGAATCAGAGTGCTATTTTAATATGACTGTTTTTCCTTTATGATCCTGAGAGCAATCCCTTTCAAAGCTCAGTGATACTTGCTCCCAACAGTAAAGGGTAGGTAAGTGTTTAGAAGGGACTCAGCATCAGAGAACATTGGAAAACTCTGTAGGGCAAATACATAGGTAACAAAGGCAGTTTTTTAAATGACAGCTTTGTAATGATTTTCGGCAATAGAGGATTCTTCATGGAATCCATACTTGTCCCTGGACACGAACCAGGAAGAGGGCTAATGGGCACACTTTCTCCATTTTATAAAAGATGATGGGAGACTTAAAGCAAACAACCATTGGTGGTGTGTGTATTTGAGATGTAATTGTATATGAGTGTGTTCTATTTCAAAGCAGTGAGAAAAAATAAAGCACGTACTTACATTTTTTTTTCATATATGACATTCCTGGTTGTCGGAGCAGTGTCCCACTCCAGAGAAACACTGCACCTTTTAAAAAGATGAATTGGTCCTGGCTGCTGTGGCTCAGTTTGGTGCATGGATGGGCGTCATCCGTGCACCAAAAGGTTGCTGGTTTGATTCCCAGTCAGGGCACATGTCTGGGTTGCAGGCTCAGTCGATGTTTTGCTCTCACATCAATATTCTGTCTCAAAAATCAATAAAAATATTTAAAGACAAAGATGAATTGCAGTAGTGTATGGGCACTTTCAAGCTCACTTCCACCTGTGGTGATAGTTTTTCTTTGCACCTCTCTTTCCTCCTTTTCGTGCTAAAAACCACAGGGGCAACAGTCCTGGGATTGGAATCCTATCCAATACCAGGGCCAGCCCGAGGCAGCTGCGGGCCCTGGGTCAGGGCCTCGTTGTGATCAACTGTGCCTCTCACAGGGTTTCACTAGGTTAGGACTAAAAAGAACATCTAGTTGTCCCAGCCTCTCAGTGTGATTCTGTCCTTCCTTCTATATTGTTTGTTGTTTTCATGCAAAATGAGCTATATTTAGGCCAAATTTAAAGGTACAGATTTTTATCACTCTGTTACCTTTCTGTTTCCCGCGTAGGCTCTGCTCTGGAACTTGGGCCTCCTTCAGTGCATGTGCCGTAGAGCAGCGGTTCCAACCGGTGGTTCGCGGACCACTGGTGGTCTGTGGGGTCCGAAAGGTTGGCGACCGCTGCTGTAGAAGCCCACTCCCCTCCCTCCCTCTCTCCTGAGCCTCAACCCAAACTTAAAGCAGCACGGAGGATCGTTTGTGGTGTTACATCCTTGAGCAGAAACCTTTCAATCCCATGGCATGTGTTATAGTGGATGTGAAAAGAGCGTAAAGTGTGGTCCCTGCCCATGATGACTGAGATGTATCTGAAAAGATGAGACTTAGAGCCATGACCATATTGATGTATCAACGTGGTACATGTATGTAATAAAATACGTCTTAAAAGAAATAGTAAGATCCTGCCTGCAAGACAGACACAACCAGAACAAAAGGCAAAGGAGAAGTCCTGGAAAGGTGGTTATGAGTCAGCCCCAATGGATGAGGAGGTGGGGCACAGAGGAGGGGTATTTTGGTTTTCTGAGCCTGGTGACTGGAACCTGAGCTTTAAGAAAGCTGAGTCCTCTGAGGGATGAGTAGGGAGGGCCCAGTACTGGGAGGCAGGGTTAGGGGAAGGAGCTGGCGAAGGAAATTGAGAAGGACAGAGTAATTGAACCATAATTGTCTAAGGCCGTGAAAGATGGGGGGCTGGGGTGGGGGTGGCAGGAAGGGTGGGGAGTGGTGGATTCCAAGTAAGCTTGACTTAATTTTACTTTAGTGTTATTATTATTTTAAAAACAAGCTCTGACCAGTTTTATTACAGAACAGTTTTGCACAACTTGCTTTTCTCCCAGCTGTCCTGGCGTGCTTCTAATGATTTCAGAACCACCCGGATCAATGCCAGGCTGCACACTCTAGTGCAGTGGTTCTCAACCTTCCTAATGCCGCGACCCTTTAATACAGTTCCTCATGTTGTGGTGACCCCAACCATAAAATTATTTTCGTTGCTACTTCATAACTGTAATTTTGCTACTGTTATGAATCGTAATGTAAATATCTGATATGCAGGATGTATTTTCATTGTTACAAATAGAACATAATTACAGCATAGCGATTAATCACAAAAACAATATGTAATTATATATGTGTTTTCCGATGGTCTTAGGCGACCCTGTGAAAGGGTCGATGGACCGCCAAAGGGGTCTCGACCCACAGGTTGAGAACCGCTGCTCTAGTGTTTTCCACACGCTGTGCCCAGTCCGGTCTTATTGCCACTGTGGTGATGGACCCCAGTCCCGGCCAACATGGCATAGTCTCTATTTCGGATCCCCTGAAGGCTGGGTGCCGCTGGCGAGGATGACCAGTTTCGCTTTGCCTTGTCTGATCATTTTCAGAGTCTGCTTGTACCCCAGCACGTACTGGCCACTTTTCAAAACGTGTTGGAACCTGGAGTCGATCGGCTCCAGTGACTTTTTGTCTTCTTCGCGGCACCATCTTCCTGCTTTGGGTGTGGGGTGGCCTCCAACCAAGAGCAGCCGCCAAGATGCCTGGGGAGCGAGAAAGGAAGTGATTTAATATGATTTTAAAATTGACAGCTGGTACCTTGGGTAAATCAATTTTGATTAAAAGCCATGTTTCCAGGGTTTAAGGAGAAACACAGATGAGGAGATAAGGCAGGGCTCGTAGCCTGTATTTAGGATTTCTACTTTTTGGTATGGAAGCATTCCTGCAGTGAGAATTGAGCGGGAGCTGGTAGAATAAACTGAGAGTCAGGAGATCTGGCGTTAACCTAGCTTCGCCATTGAATTAGCCGTGCTGCTTTAGGCACGTCCTGTCTCTCACCGTGATCCCTAACCCATCCACCACATAACCGTCTGTGTTGTGCTTGTTTACTTGGTCGCGTTTCCTGTCCTCAGGAGATCATAGCCTTTAACCCGTTGCCTTGGGCTGGAATGACAGGAACTTCCCAGGTGTCTCCTAGGAGAAGGCACGCTCCCTGCCCAGAAGGGCTGTCCAGTGAGCGTGTCACTGAGAGACCTTCCTTCCTTGTCTGCAGCCGTGGACAGGGTGAAGCGGCCGTCGCCGGAGTCCCAGAGCAACAACCTCTGGGTCATCGTCGGCGTGGTCATCCCCGTGCTGGTGGTCATGGTGATCGTCGTCATCCTTTACTGGAAACTCTGCCGCACAGACAAGCTGGACTTCCAGCCCGACGCCGTGGCCAACATCCAGCAGCGCCAGAAGGTGAGGGCACATCCCCGGAGGTCGTGCACGCGGCTCGCAGGCAGGGGTGGGGGAGCCCAGGCTCTCGATACCGAAGGGGAGCCATTAGGGACATCTTTTGGGGTTAATGGTGGTGTCCCTTTGCCTTCGCTTCTGCTTGCTGAGGCCCCCGCTCTTCTGTAGTATGAACTGTTTGCAAGAAGGTGAAGCTGTGCAAAGGCTTAGCCATGCCTTCGAGAACCCTGACTTCCACTGAGATGTTGTTTTTGAGACCATCAGTTAGAAGATCTCATCTGTTCTGGGTATGAGTTCTAATGTCTGTTAACCCTGGATGTCTTCAGAGAATAGGAACAAAGGGAGATTTTTCTCACATCTGTGTGTCTGTGTCTCCCATACACCACTTCCCTGGATGGCTCCTTTATTTTCCATCCACCTGTTGCAAGCCCACCTGTCCACCTTGATCGAGAGCACTTAGTCATTAAAGGATGGTAATGCATGCCAGAAACATTTTAACTTAAAATATATGAATAGGTATTTAATTGACATCTTTCAACATACCTCGTCTTTTTTTTTTTTTTTTTTTTTTTTTTTTTTTTTAGTATTTATCTACTGAGAGGAATTCCCTGTGGTCTTTCTTCCCCCTACTGGGGATGTGCCCACAACCAAGGTAAATGCCCTTGACTGGGATCGAACCCGGGACCCCTCAGTCCACAGGCCGACGCTCTATCCACTGAGCCAAACCAGTCAGGGCCCTGTGGTCTTTCTTATAATAAATGCCCCTCATACATCAGTGCAGTTTCCAGTTTGGGTTTCTTTAGAGAAGAGCAAAGCAACCTGAGTGCCAAGTTCTCCAGGTTTTAATAATCCTCCCTCTTCCCGCCCTGCCGTCTTTTTGAATTGACTCCTAATTTGACAACAGCTCCTTGTCCACGTCTTCCTAAAGCATTCAGTTTCGTTTTTATAGTGGCAGCAATTCTCTTCTCACATGTTTCACCAGTTTCTGCAGTATTTAATGGCCACATGCAAGTTTCAGAGCAAGGATATGGACTTTTGGTCGGTATCTAATCCACCTGGTGTGAGCAATAACATGCCACGTACCAGAGAACTCACTTCCTGCCGACATTCAGCATCACGTGAGATCAGCCATTGCTAAGGGAATGGACGTGGTCATGAACCTATGTATGTATTAACATGTACCTTCTACTCAAAAAGTTAGAGGACTCACTCAGCTCTAAAAGTTGGGTAAGAAAAAGCAAATAAGAAACAAAGAATTGCCTGGTTCACCTTTGAATTTTATTCTGGTTGTGTGAGTATAAAAAATTCTGGGCATTACAAACCTAGACCTGCTGAATGAAAAAATAAGTATTGTTTTTACATTTATTTCATGACTGTAAAGGTAAACGAAGAGTATTCTTTTTCTTATGAATTAACTAAGAAATGCAAAAATCTTGATTAAGTTGCAAGTACATGGTTATCAAGCATGTTGGATGCATTTTATACTTCAATATTCTAGTTGTTACATGTCTTCATGTATTTTTTACCTACTTTGCCAAAGTTGTTTTGTTGTTAGACAAATGAATGGCACAGAAAAATAAAACCTGGAAAAAAATTCCTTGCTATTCCAAATGATTCAGAGTGTGAATTTCATTGTGACGAGATCAGCAATAGATTTGGAAATTTTTTGTTCTGGTGCAGAGTCCGGTTTCAGAGAGATGTAACCAGTGCATTTGATTCAGACGGCTGTGCATTTAGGTCTCTGGTTCCTCAGTTCCTAATGTAAACACCCACTGTGGGAGCCCATCCATTATCTGTTACTTCAAGAAGCTATCGGAGGACCGCATCTCTGAGGTCAAAACAGGGTAGTCCCCAAGCTTTCTCCTCCTCCCACTTTTACTTCCGAAATATTGTCACATCCCAGATGTGGCTATGAAGCAAAGGGGCAGAGTTTCCAACGGAAACGCCAGCCTTTGGAGTTGCTCAGACGTTTTTACAGGGAAGGCCTTCTGCGTGGAGCCTCCCCAGGAGACGGAGTGTCTTGCTCGGAGGGCAGCACCCCGACGTTTCAGAAGCACGGGCTTTGTTTTGCTGGCACAGGAGCCCACCGTCTAGACTTATCAAGTGTTTTCAGTAGGAAAAGGATGGTCACCGAGGTGACTGTCAGAGTTCCTCTGCTTTTCTGGGTGCCTTTCTGTTTTCTCTCTCTCCCTCCTGCTCACCCCACCCCTGATGCTGCCTCCCTGCGACTCTGAAATCTTGTAGTAAACCCTAGAGCTATGAACATCTGGAAACAATCACTCTGGTGAGCGAAAATCCACACCCCCTTCTCCTGTAAGGAAAAGGAAACCTCTTCAGATTGTCTGGGAGTCGATTAGGTTTGAAATAGGATAGAGGGAGAGGCCTTTCTGTCATATTTGGAAGTAGGGTTCTTGCTTCTTTCTAATAATAAAGAAAAACACCCTAACCTGTGCCTTTCTTTTCATCTGTGTTCTCTTTAATCTGAAGCCTAAAGTCACCACTTGTCACTGTTCCCCACAGACCTCCAGCTTGGACCCGCCTCGCCCCGCAGAGGTTCCATTTAAGGATACGAATGGCATGGCCTACCTGCTGCTGGTCCCATGGGAACTTGTTCTGCTGGGGACAGGCCACCCCCTGTTGTTGGTGCAGGACTGGAGTTCCGTTCCTGGCCGGCTGGCACCGTGGGCCGCCAGGCGGAGCTGCCTCAGAACGGCATGCTCATTCACCAGGCACTGAGCATGTGCTCAGAGCCGGGCAGGCCAGGCTGGGTGACAGGCACAGATGACATGCAGTCCTGCTCTCGAGGGCTTTGGTACGGGAGGAGGACAAGGCTACAGTGGCTGACGCAGTCACAGTGTCGGTCCTTCTAGGGTGCTGCAGGAGCGGGGAGGAGGGGCCCCCTCTGCCTTCCGAGAGGAGGTGATGCAGGGCTGACGGGCAGGGATGCAGCCAGATGAAGTGGGCCCAGACGGAGGGAAGGGCACAGAGGTCGAGAAGGCTGGGACAAGGTTGTATGGAAGGGCACAGCTGAAGCTGCGGAGACGGAGGCAGGCAAGAGCCAGGCTCGGAGAGGTTTGTAGGACATGTAAGGGTGGGAAGGGATGCTGTAGGTAGTGGGGACCCATTGAAGGGTTTTCGGCAGGGAGAGTAGCTGGAGTGTCTGTCAGTTTGGGACGGTCACTTGGGGGGCAGTGTGGCCAGTGGATTGAAGAGACGCTCAGCCAGGTTCAGCTTGGCCCCTGTGCTTGCTCTTCGATTCTCTGCAAGGATCCCGTGAGGCCTCACGTAGGTGTTTCTAGTTCACCCACAGTCAGGTGACCCTGACCTGCTGTGGCCTGGGGGCAGCAGAATCTTGGAGCACTGCTCTCCCAGACTCAAGACCTGAGGGTGGCAGGGCCCCACGCAGACACACACACGGTAACGACTTTGTCTGGTCCTCACTGTGGGGACGTCACGTGGTCGTGGTGAGCTTTCACAGGCCACAGCCATCGAATTGTAAACGCTTAATGCGTTCTCTTCGAGATCGGAGATTTTCATTTAGGTTCTGCTGGGATTGCTCTGTGGTTTCCTTTGTCATCTTAGTGCTACTTCCCAGGGTTCAGACTCACCGAGTACTGGGGACTTCACTCTGTCTTGTCCCATCTGGGTTGTATTATATTTATGGCTCACGTGTTTTAAAATTCATCAGGCGTCTCTGACATCAATAAAAATATATTTTAAAAAGGTTTTAAAAAAAAAAAAAAATTCATCAGGCGTCTTGCCTGTTACTTGGCTGACCTGCTCCACAAGGCCTCCCTGACTTGTCAGTGACATATTCTGGTTGGGTACTGATCCTGGGGCCTGTCCCCTTTGTGATATAGTAAAGAAAGAAGGAACAGCCTGGCCAGTGTGGTTCAGTGGTTGAGGGTTGACCTATGAACTAGGAAGTCACGGTTAGATTACCTGTCAGGGCACATGCCCGGCTTGGGGCTTAAAACCCCTGGGGGGGGGGGCATGCAGGAGCCAGCTAATTGATGATTCTCTCTAATCATTGATGTTTCTATTCCTCTCTCCCTCTCGCTTCCTCTCTCTGAAATCAATAAAACATAATTAAAAAAAAAAGGAACAAAAGAGCTATCCTTACTCAGAAGTAACTGGGTCCTAAATGAATATTAAAGCACTAATTAATCGCCACCCTTCTTTTATAAGATACGAATTCAGGTTTATTCTGCATATGGAAGCTGGAGACACAGTACATCCAGACTTAACTCTAGATTAAAAAAAAAAAGAAATAGAAAAACTAGAAAAAGTGTACCAGAAAGTAGGGTTGAAATGAAAGTAGCTAATTCCATGAGTGTGTGTGTGTGGGGGGCGGGGGGGCAGTGATTTCTGTAATTTTTTCCTTCTGTGTGTAAATGGCTTTTGTTTTGTGGGTAAGTACAGATTAGTTGCCAAATTTCTATTGTTGTGGAAGGTGGTGACTCACAGAGCCTGTGGGAAGTGTAAGGATCTAATGGGTATATTTAGAGATGTTAGTGGGAATCAACCAGAAGCAACAGGGCTTCAAGGCTGTGGTGGATGTTTCATTTATGGCAAACGCCCTTTCCTTGGTTCCCCCCAAAATTCAGTAGGTTCTCTGCATCAGCTGACCTTTTAGAAATTCCTTCCGTCATCACCTGTTTGTAGAGCGTGTACCATGTGTCACATCCTGTTGCTGAGTTACGGAAGTTTGTATCAGAATTTATATCTACAGCTTTATCTGATGCCTGGGAATGCTTAGCTGACTGTGTGTATTAAGTTCTTGATGTTTATCAACGAAGAGCGATAAGAATGCTGTCAGTCTCATTGTAAGGCACTTTGACATAGGCATATATTGGGTTGTTTCATGAGCCCTGAGAGTTGGTCAGCGAAGGCCGTTATTTCCTAGACTTGGGGTACACAGGCTGCACCATGGAGACAGTGTGGTTCATATTTTTTCCTTATTTTCTTTGGAGAGCTTTGCTTAGAGGAGGTCTCCAATCTGTGGCTCCTCCTTCAAATTAAAAAGAATATTTCTTCCACTTAGAAAAACGATTAATTTTAGAGAGAGGAAGGGACGGGGGAAAAGAGAGAGAGAGAGAGAGAGAGAGAGAGAGAGAAACATTGATGTGCGAACGAGACATCAGTCGGTGCCTCCTGCATGCCCCCCACCAGGGGTCAAGCCTGAAACCTGACTGGGAATTGAACCAGGAACCCTCCGGCACACGGGACGATGCCCAACCAACTGAGCCAGACTAGCCAGGGCTTCTCCTTCAGTTTTGACAAAGCAAACCATCTACCTCACAAAAGAGAGTGTTTCCCAGTCACTAGAGGCATTTGCTTTCTTACTGGGGAATATACCAAAAAGGGTTTTACCAGGATTGATAAGACGATGTTGATGGTGATGATTAGATGACGATTATAACTGTTATTCTTTTGTTTAGAGGCACCTTGTTTATGGAGCTAAAATGAGGTGTCGCTGGAGGGAAAGCAGCCACATGGGTGAGAGGTGGGTCTCTCTTCTGTAAAGTAGGAGGTCTTTTATGAAAGGAGGCTGGACAGGGGGACCAGCCTGGTGCCCAGACCCCTGGCGCACTCAGGAAAATCACGTTTAGGTGCGAACATATGAAGAGGTTGTCCATCTGGAATTTGATTCCCTTAAAGGGACTATGTGCTTCTAGAAAGGTGTGCACCCCCAGGGATTTGGTGTGCTAATCTTGTCTCAGGGATGAGGATTTATCCTGGGGGGGAGGGTTGGGGGTGGGGAGCCATGGAGCAGCAGGTCGGGTTTATTGTTTTCGAAACAGCATTCCTGAGCCAAGGGGTGTGTGGCAGTCACACACTGTCTGTGTGGTGGAGTAGCCTGCTCTTGAAACATGATATCATCGATTTAGAAAATATAGGTAGGCCAGTCTTTGCCTTTTGTTTCCAAGCAACATCTTTGTAAACTATATTTACAGTAAGTTTTGTCTCCCTCTGCTGGCATAAATCATGGTTGCAGATTTACTCTCCTACCCCATTAATCTTGGATTTTTAGTGCTAAAAAGAGGTTAGAGTTAGAGATCACAAATCTAAGCCATTAGTGTTGTTACTCATCTCTGCATAAAGTTGTCACAAATACAACAAAACCTTGTGCTTCTGCACATGGTCTCTCGGCTAAGGGTTTGCCTATGTCTCTTGACTAATAGGACTACCTGTGGGTGTGGGACACAGCCTGGCTGGGAGGGCTTGGTCTTGCATGTGGCCTTCCTGCTGGCAATGAGGAGACCCTTGAGATGACTACTTATATGCAGTTTATTGTCCTACTAGAGGCCCGGTGCACGGATTTGTGCACCAGTGGGATCCATCGGCCTAGCCTGCGGGGATCGGGTTGAAACCGGCTTTCCGACATCCTCTGAGGGGTCCTGGATTGTGAGAGGGCACAGGCCAGGCTGAGGAACCCCACCAGTGCACAATCGGGGCTGGGGAGGGACCGCAGGAGGGCTCCAGGGCATGTCTGGCCCGCCTCGCCCAGTCCTGATTGGCCAGACCCCAGCAGCAAGCTAACCTACTGTTTGGAGCGAATGCCCCCTGGTGGTCAGTGCATGTCATAGCAACTGGTCGAACAGTCCAAGGGTCGTACACTTAGCATATTAGGCTTTTATTATATAGGATGCCCTGCAAGCTCGAATTAAGGAAATTGTTAATACCTAGTGGTGCCCCACCTTTACTGTCCATGCATCCATATACGCGAACACCTCTCCTATCTTAGCACAGGCTGAGAAGCTGAGGCCCGGACCTGTGGTTGCAGGCTCATGGGGTCTTGGTTGTGGGTTTGGTGTGGGTGCCTCGCTGGGACGTAGGCCTCCTGCATATGCCAGTGTGACAAGTGGACTTTTTCAAAGACCCCTTTCTCCTCATCACTGTGCCCTGATTACTCTCCTTTCTAGAAATTTTTTATTCCCTTTACTTCTATTGCATTGAATGGTTCACATTCTTTCTTTTTTTTTGAAGTAGGCTTCTATTTTGTTCTTGGCTTCCTTTTTTCCTCTCTGAGTCCCAAACTATTAGATGTCCTCCAACATTTTATTCATGGACTGTTTTCATCTTAAAATACTGTCAACTCCCCCACATGTCACCTTCTAGACAGATGTTCTCAGAGCCACATCTCCAGCCTGGCGTCCCCCAGGCTTCTGTCCTCCGACTCAGCCACACGGCTGCTTTCCTCTGGAGCTGTTTTTTTTTGTTGTTGTTGTTTTTTTGCCATTTCAACCCAAGCATGTTTAAAGCAAGACCTGACTTTGTATTTCCTCAGGGCATCGTTCCTTCCTGACTCACCCCTTCCCCTAAGTGTCACTTCCACTGTTCTGCGTCCGCTGCTGGTTATCACTGGCTCTCTCTCTCCTTTGCCTCTTGCGTCTGGTCGGCATCCAGTCCCTCCCGCCTGTTCTGTAGATCCCTTCCTTCCTTCCTTCCTTCTTCCCCTCCTTCCCTCCCTCCCTCCTTCCCACTTTCTTTGCTAAGACTTTGGGCTCCACTCTTGTCATTCCAGGAATGTGGAACTGTTAGGCCGTTTTCCCTGGTCCCTTTGTGTCCTGTCTGCTTGAATTTTAGAAATCTGCCTCTTTAGAAATATGTAGGCACGTCTCTGCTCTAGAAGCTGGCATTTGGAGTCGTCCACATGCAGGCCGGCCTTCCCTCACTCCCTGTATTCTGACCCGTCTAGAGCAGCTAATGAGATCTCTGCCCAGCCTCAAGGGTTTGCTGGTCCCTGACACAATCCAGATCACGCTCTGTGTCCAACCTCTTTACTTCTAAGTTCTGTCTGTCCTCTGAGTCCTGACACAAGTCCCCATTTCTCTGTGGAATCCTGTGCCCGTGTCCCTGTCTCTGGAATTGCATAGCACATGGTCATGCCGCTATGGCAGCGGGCCGGGGATCGTCTTGGGGTGTCTTTTGTATTATGGTCTAGCTTTTTAATCCTTGTGCTCTTTAAGTTTTTGCAAGTACCCATCTTTTCTGCAAACTCAAGGCATAAACGGCCCCTTGTACACATTTGACGTTTCAGAGATGTTGGTGGAATTGCAGGCACGATCTCGCCGGCCCTCACAGGCTCCTTTATGGTCACCAGCGTTCAGATCGACCGACCCCCCTCTTTGTTTTAGTTGCAGATCCCCAGCGTGAAGGGGTTTGACTTTGCCAAGCAGCACCTGGGGCAGCACAGTAAGGACGACATCCTGATTATTCACGAGCCTGCTCCGCTGCCGGGGCCTGTGAAGGACCACACCACGCCCTCCGAAAACGGGGATGTCCCGAGCCCCAAGGCCAAGGTCCCCTCCAAGAACGTCCGCCATCGAGGAAGGTTGGTGTCGGGCTTTCTGCATTGTACTCTGTCGTGAAGCATGTTTCCGTTTTCAGTTTGTCAGTTTCCAGTATCAGAAGGGCTGACGGAGAGTATTGCCCACGCCTGCAGCCCAGGAGACTGACCACAGCTTTCCCAAAGTCAGCGAGCCCGTAGGCCGCTCCAATGGACCACCCGAGGGGGCTGTCTGCTCTCTTTCCCCGAAGCATTTAAGATTCCGAATCACTATCCATCGTGGTTTGGCGGTCCCCCTGTGACTTGATTAGGGATTGGCCAGCTCAAGAGTATATATTCTGGGTGAGCAAGCTTGGCCTTCTGGAAATGATACCAGAAACCATGTCTAAAAGGTGCATAGCACGCGATATACACCCAGTACTGGCTTTGTCCTGGCCCATCATGCCTTCATTGCTCTGTCTACAGGTGACCTTCCTTTATCACAGCTTTCTATCTTTTTAAAAAAAATATATTTTTATTGATTTCAGAGAGGAAGGGAGAGAGAGAGAGAAAGAGAGGAGGATGATGAGAGAGAATCATTGATCAGCTGCCTCCTGCATGCCCCACTCTGGGGATCGAGCCTGTAACCCAGGCATGTACCCTGACCGGGAATTGAACTGTGACCTCCTGGTTCATGGGTTGACGCTCAACCACTGAGCCACACCGGTTGGGCACATCTTTCTATCTTTGCTTGATTTTTCTCTGGCAGCTGATGTCACCATTGTTAGTATGTTTGCATGGACTCTTCACCACCTCCCATCTCCCTGCCCAGCTCCCATCTCTGTTTATTTTCATTCCTCTTATCAGGGTAAAGCACTCCAGTGGAGAACTGCTTGATAACACACTCCCCGGAGGTCCCCTCACCCTCTGATGCCCTGGGAAGGGCTACATCTCTGTTAAAGGAGACCCAGTTCACAGTCAGGCTTTATTAAGTTGACTTTAGATCATCACAGTCAAGCTTTGGCTACTAAAGCCTTAAAATTATCAGCCTATCTTTGAGCTTTGATACTTTGGATCCTGATTTTCTGCTAAAAGGAAAAAAGTAGCGTGGGCTCATACCAATATTTGAAATGATGTTATAATTCCTGACATCAGAAAACCTCTCCGGGGGTTCTGGCCTAGTTTTAAGAATTTAATAGATGATCTTTACAAAAGAAACTGCATTAAGGAGAGAGATGGTATTTGCTTAATTATCTTGTAGGTTAAGCATAAGTGAAATCATTAAGCATTATTAATATGCTAGTACAGATTTGCAAAGTCTTTTTTTTCTTCCCTTGTAGTCTCATCCTAAACATTTAGTCACGACATCTCAGTGGCCTGTGTGGTTAATATAATAATTTAGCAACCCTCACGGGCACCAGTGTTGGCATTTCACACTGCTGTTTAATCCAGGGAGCACAAATGGAGGGGTGCCCGCTGGTGGAGTTTTACTAGCCTGGTGCCCCCTGGCTTCCACGCTACCCTTGCTCTTTAGTTATGGCATCAGATCTTGGTGGGGATGTAACTGTAGGCTTCTTCCAAAGACCTGGAGCTCGGTGGGGTGAATGCAGACACCCTGGCTTCCTGGAGATTCTGCAGACCCAACGAGCCCTGAGCCAGACCAGACTGCCAGCCAGGGCCCTGGTCACTGAAGAACCGCCCCTAATTGGGCCCCTGATTTCTTGGCATTTGTTGAAATGCAGCCTGCTGAGCCCTTTCCTGCACTGTTACACTGTCTTCAAGAGGTAACCAAGTGCAGTCCGTGTCCTTGGAGATGCTGGACCGTGAGATAATTTTTTGGATTGTCTGCTAATTTCTACCAGTCGGCCTGGGAGCCTGACTTCCACATCCGAATGAGCATGCCCGGCCCCTCCCTTTGCTTTCTGATTCCTCATGCTTACATCTGTTTGGTGTCTGCAGAGTTTCGCCCTCAGATGCTGACTCTACCGTAAGTGAGGAGTCCAGTGAGAGGGAAGCAGGAGATAAGACGCCGGGCGCGGTGAATGACGGTAAGTTCCGCAGAGCCCCACAGAGCGGCCTGTGACTCTCCTCGCTCTCCACATGCAGAGCAGTCATGACGAGGTTCCAGTAGGCTAGGGTTTTATTCTTCAAGTGCTGAACTTAAAAAAATAACCTGTGCAATGTAGTATTCGTTATCCATATGGCGAATGTCTCAGCATCGATGGTCACTAACAGGGTGCTGG